GAACAAACGTTCCGTAGAATTATCTTAAATACTTTATTTCGTGTAGGTTATTTCTCTTTTTTATTTCCGTTTGTGATTATATTTTGTTTATTTTTTTTGACATCTTCAAAAAAATATACAAGTAACGATTTAATTAATTATATACGTCTGTCTATTAATTAATGAAAGAATGCTATGCTACGCGCGTGTATTGGAAGTAATCGGTGAATAGTTCCTTTCATGTGTAACAAATCATTACTACATTAATAGACGATACTTCTTTTACCGAATTATGTTTACACAATGTGAAACATCGAAGCGTGATTTACTTTTGAAATATCCCGATTTCCGTCTTGCATGATTCTACGCTGGATTAAAGATGCAACGCAAATAAATGTCTTTAAGAGTAATAGGATTGTAAAAAAATTCATAATTGAATTAAATCGTGTGACTTCGCAAAAAGATTTCTCCTTTATTATTTCACTTTAGTCGTCGCATTTTTACTTTGAACTGTTTTAAGGATACGATATTTAACGCTTACGATGTTTATATTAATGTTAGACGATAAATGTAATTAAACTGTATCATTATTTATATATATATATGTGTGTATTGTATTATACAACTTGTTGAGAAAGTCTATAACATAGATTTTATTTATTTGAAAGAAACGTACAATGTTTATTATTTTAATATACGTGTTTATTTATTTTTTCGTTTTAGCTTTTCATTTTCACGGCTTTGTTGCATAATGCGTAATTGAAATGAAATCAAGTTAGTTCAAAACGAAATTCGATGTGTACTCTGATTGTACCTCTCTTTCACTTAATGAGATGTAATAAAATGTAATAAAAATACAACAAACGGTTATACTATTTTTTAAAAAGATTTATTTTCATTCCTTATTATTACCGACGTTTCATACAGTGCTTAGTATTCTCATTAAAATTACAACATGTACCCCATCCACTCACAGTGAACGAGGATAGTATCTTTTTCTCTGGAAATATATCTGTCAAATTGTACAGAGTTGTCATTGAAAATATTAATGTACAATACTTCTTTATAAACATTTTTAACAAAATTTCAGCAAAACAATTAAAAGAAAGCCACATATCTTCCATATTTACGTTCAACTCGCAAACTATCGAACCATTTTAATTCTATGTATAAATAATTAATATCCTACGGAACTACGTATTTAACAAGCATGAATAAATCGAATAATTGATGATAAATGTGGCTAGCATTCCAGATAATAAAGAACGGAACGAAAGTAAAACAAGAGTTATTGAAGGTAACTTAGAATGATAAGTCCAAAAAATGAAATATAGTCCATAATTCATTTGTGATCACATTTTACGAAGGTCAAGAACAAATACACTGCCATCAGATGCAGAAGCACCAACTTTATCTCCTCGACTGTTCCAACACACTTCGAAAATCCCACCAGTGCCTTGGTAACTGTGCACCAATTGACCATTCTGCACGAATAAATATAAAAGAAAACACACGTATAGTATAAAGTTCATTTAAATACAAAGAACGCAGTAGAGAAATAATTATCTTACCTGAGTAGACCAAATATGAACACATTTGTCGAAACTTCCACTAGCGAGAAATTTACCGTCCGGACTAAATGCTACGCTATACACTGGTTCCGTGTGTTTCGTAAGTCTGTGTATACATGCACCTCTTTCTACATCCCATAATCTTACAGTCGAATCAAATGATGCACTAGCTAAAGTTAAATTCATATTTGGATTGTGGGTACCAGGTCCAGTCGGAGACCATTTAATGGTATAGATTTCTTTACTATGAGCTTGCAGATCGTGTACCCATGTGTCTTGTTTCATAGACCAAATTTTAAGACTCATATCATCTGAACAACTGGCCAATAAGTTGCCTTGAGGATCCCATTTTATAGCATTAACTTCATTCTACAATTAAAACAAGAAAGAAAACTGTTAGAGTTTAAAACAAGAAACAAAACTATTAGATATTTCATATACATTCTTCATTTCACAAGTACACATACCGTATGACCTTGGAAGCTCTTGATTGGTTTATCAACATTAAGTTTGCATACATGAATACATTGGTCAGTAGAACAACTAGCAAATGATGTATTTGTTTGCCAATCAACATCCAATGCAGGTGCACAATGAAAACTAAATTGTTGAGTACATTGTCCACTTTCTGCATCCCATATAATGGTGGTTTTGTCAACCCCGGCACTTAATATGTAGTTACCACGTTTGTTCCACTTTAATGCAAAAATTGGACCTTTGTGCTGACCTAATGTGGATGCTAATTTACCGTCTGTCTTCCAAATTCGTGCGTAACCATCGTAACTTCCTGTCGCTAATAAGGTACCATCGCACTAAAACACATAAACAAATTATATTAATTTTCTTTTTTTAATATTGTAATTTAAAAATATATATATATAGTATATATAATCAGTTTACCTTCCAATCTAATGAAGTCACATCTTTGTTGCTTGGTACCTCTGTACCACCTTTTTGTATGCAATGACGGAGAACAAGCTGATTCGGAGCTTGAGAACTACCGGACATATCCCAAATACGAGCTGTGCTATCTCCTGAACCAGAAGCCAAAAGATCAGTTGTTGGATTCCATGCACATATGAAAACTTCCGATTCATGACCACGTAATATTGTAGCTTTAGTGTCTGGAATTTCAACAGCGCTAGCATTAGTTCCCCTGCCTGAACCTTGTTGTTGTTCATCTACTTCCATTTCTGTCCTATCTCCTCCTCTCTCATTTGTGCCTACACCTTCATTGGAGGTAACAACTGAAAACAGGTTAGTAAGTTAATAACAATTACCAAATGGAAAGCTTTCTTTCCTTCTTGCAACTATATATGTAATCTGAAATAAAGAAATTCCATTTTTAAAAAGATCACGTATCATTAAATAATAGTGTTTTTTGGTATCTATGTATTATATTAGCTCATACCTATATAAAAATTGATCTCTTTTTATAACTATGATTTATACAACATAAATTTTAACAATATTAACTTTGTATAGCATTACAATATATCTATACATGGTGAACCTACAAAATTCTTGTTTTCATTCTTTATTCCAGATTACACATATATTAATAATATTGTTTGCTCCTAGTTTTCGGACAGGTTATAGATTTAAAAATGAGCTACATTTTGCTATAATAGTGTACAACTTAACATTACAAAACAATTTCTTTAACTTAATAATGACACACACAAAAAAAAAGAATTTTATTTTACTCAAACTGTTATAACAAAAATACTAGCCCCTAACAAGCCCGACAACTAAAGCAGTCCATTGCTGTACCTGGTTTGATAAGGAGATCTACGAAACTGAAATATTTTCATAGACCAGGGTGTACCAGGAAAATAAAATGACACTCAGTGTTTAAAATATAGCACATAGAACATAAATAATAAAAATTAATATAACAGATAAAATTACCTTCCTCCCCATTTGTATCTTGTACTTCTGTTTTCACCTGTTGTTTCTGTTGGTTAATTTGATTCTGCCTTGATGCCACAACATCTGGCATAACGGCGTCGATAAGAGACAAGGATTCCACCATTCTTTGCTCAGTCCCATCTTCACCTATTGATATCTCTGCCTCTGTGTACTGCAGCCCTTTCTGTAGAATCGACAAAAGTGCTGCTGGCGGTACTAACGCTCCGTTAATGTTACTCTGCGATATATGTGATTCTATACCAAATGTGTACGCAGAATGCTGAAATCCTACAAAAGAAACCACACAGTGATTAACTTGCAATGTTTACAAGGTTTGTAGTATAATTTTCATACAACAAATTCGAGAAATATATTCGCCAACCTAGCAACCTAGTGTCAGGGATACGCTTCTATTTGTCCTCGAATAACCTCTTCGAGTCACGTTTAACTTACATGTTGTAACAAGTTACTGGCCAACAAGACGTTATTAACAGCAAATGTTGTTGCGGACGATATATACATGTGTATGTACATACGTTGCATAAGTAACAGGTGTATACAAACAACGGGAATCGAAAGTTCGCCGAGAAGTTATTTGAAAAAAGAGGTTACGAAGCGATGCTCTCGAGGAAAGAAACATACCAGATTCTTGAAGGTACCGGTAAACCAAAAAGTTGACTTCATCACTCGAGAAGCTCATCGTTCTTTGCTTCCGCGATACTAGCACGACATATTTATCGAGAAGTTGCGGCTGAAACTCAATTCGATTCGCTGCGGACGCCGAGATTGCCGCGTCGAGGCCACTCTATAAGGAACACAGGCACAATACGCACGAGACCTCGCCATTGGCCAAGAACACGAGCAGCAGCGCGTTCCGAAAGGATACATTGCCAACTTCAATCGAGTAATCTCGTCCTCCTTTAAACCGACCGGGAAAAAAGGAACGGGCAATTAGATTTCATTCATACGTTTCGAACGTAGCACTGTGAAAACAACGTGAATGCATTTGTGCAGCCTGTCGTTGCCAGCGTTCGTTTGTACACGATATTCGGTCGAGAATTGGTCCTCGATTAAAAATAACCTGTCGGTAGTTCCGGTAAAAACGTACATTATTGCTGAGAGTTTCGAGTATTTCAATAATGAATACCATTTACAGAAATTTATCGATACCTATGCGATATTTGGTACTTACGAGAAATCCGATATTTCAAAAAGGTTCGTACCGCACTGTCAATAGAGTTGAATTCATTTTTTCAATGTTTGGTTAAGTTTGGTTAAGCATGTTCTTAATATCAGGTTTTATTTGTTTATTGTTGAAGTTGTTCTTACAGTTGACCTGACCGTTTATTCTGATATTGTAACATTCAAAATGAAATTTAGTATATTTCAAAGTAAAATATAGTAAATGAAATTTAGTATCATTTAATATATTAATTTAATATCATTTAGTATAGTATAATTGTTATTTATAATGTCAAGAAGATATTGCCATTTTTTCTTAAAATAAAAATATCTCTGTTGTAAGATTGTTATTAATTGTTTTTTAGCATGCGAAAATTTTAGGAAAAGAAAGTAGAACTTTAATTATCAATGTAATATGTATAGAATGAAATACTGATTATGTAAAAACTCTATGATATATACTTGTATATTACATATATTTTATATCACACATTATGTATATATATTATACATACACGTAGGTTCAATAATAAAATCAATCATATCAATCTTTCTTTAGATAACCTTATATCCATTATTTCATAATTTTAGTACATCAAGAACAATTTTTTTCTTTTTTTGATATTGATAACAAATACAAATTGATAATAAATACAAAAAAAAATTAACTTTAACCTATATATTCAATAAATTATATTTTGACAAAATTTTTCAATAAATTATATTTTGACAAACTCTTAATACATATACATAAAATTTTTAATAACATGTAAAATTGATATTAAAAATTTTAATATACAGAAATTTTGTTGACATATTTTACAGATTGAAAAGTTAGAAAATTGATTAAAATTTAATACTAATATAAGGTGATATAAATAGTTTCAAATTTAGCGGCTTTTCTCAGTTTTGGCTATTTCGCTATCTTTTTTTTTTTTATAAGTTCATCTTATCACTAAAGCAAGAAATCAATCGGCAGAAGACAAAAAAATTACATAATTCTTTACTTAAAATAAAAAATTGTATTAAGAAAATTATAATAGATAGAAAATGGATAGAAAAATAATCAAAATTGAAAAAGGTCGGTAAACTAGAAATTTAGCAGTTTTGATCCTAACATATAAAAAGATTTCTCGTTTTTCTAACAATTCTGTGTTTATAACGCAAATTGATTACTTTTCTTTATTTCAATAATTTTTCAATAATTATACTCTCTTATTTTCTCTTACGTGTATTTAGAAACGTACGAAGTTTTTCATAATTCAGATAAGAATATTTTTAAATCCGTAATCTTCAACAGAAATAAACACAAATATTTCATCATAATAGATTATGATCTGTGACAACATTTAGCCTACTTTACAGAGTAATGACTCTTTAAGTACTATGATAATGAGGTTCGTAATGTAACCTAATTCGAATGTTAGTTCGAGCAAGTTATATGTATTTATAGGTATTTGTTCTTCTATTATGCACTTTTATAGTCATTTTCTTATACTTTTTAAAAGAATTCCAAATAAAATTTTGTACTTCGGCAAAACTGAATTTTTTAGATAAAATTATTTTGAATAAAGTTTTGAATTTATATTTGAATTAATATCTTTGAATTTTTGAACTAATATTAATATTAATATATATATATATATATATAT